TGTTGTTATTCAGTCATGTCTTACTTTTTGTGACCCCATTTAGGTTTTTTTTGGCAAAGATACTGGAGTGGTTTGCCATTTCCTTCTCCATCTCATTTGAAAGTTGAGAAAACTGAAGCACACAGGGTTACGTGGCCTGTCTAGGGTCACACAGCTAGTAAGAGTCAGGTTTGAACTCAATGAAGATGAGTTTTCCTGACTTCAGGCCAGGCACTCTGTCCTGCACCAACTAACTGCCCACAATATTATTATCTATGTTCTATTATATTTTTATTTATTTTGTTAAATATTTCCCACTTACATTTTAAACTTGAGAGTTTTGCTGGCTGCAGTGCCAGCAGCATGTTTGACTTCTCTGCTCTAAGAGATAGTAGTTATTTCTGCTCAAGGCCTCCACAGTTTTCACTCTTATAACCAGTTCCTTTTTCAGTGAGAACCAGATATAGCATAGATTTTCTCCTTGTTCATTCCTACTAAGTCAAAAAAATGTTAGCTGTTAAGTAGAGAGCGCAGCAGGTATCTAAATAATTGAAGTCATCCATAATTGCTCTGTCATTTTTTTGGGGCCAGACTTGTAATCAGGAAATCTTCTTGGATGTACTAGCAGTTAATCTGGTCTTTATAGGATGGATAGTCAGTCAGCAAATATTTGTTAAGCATTTACCATGCATCACGGACTGTGCTAAGATCTGGGGATAGAAAGAAAGACAATCAGTCCCTGCATTCAAGGAACTCACTTTCTATAGGGAGAAACAGCATGTAAGTAAATAAGTATATATAAGATACACAGAGAAGAGGGAACAGGAAGGCATTAGCAGCTGCATACATTTTCAAAAGGTAGAGATGGAGTCATTAGGGTGTTTCAGGTGAGGAGAGCAGTATGAATAGTGACAATAGAATCTAGGTTGAGAGTTGGAAAGGACCTTAAAGACCATTTCAGTCAACCCATCATTTTACAGAAGAGGAACTGAGACCCAGAGAAGAGTGACTTGCTTGCCTCATGAATTCAGGAAATGATATATAATCCAGTTTGACTTGAATATCGGGTGATGGTAGAGACTGTGTTTACAATCTGGACCAGCCTAACTGACAAGTCAGCTGTCCCAGAGGTAGGATTCAAATATATTTTGACATCAGACCAAACACTTGACACTTACTAGCTGTGTGGCCCTGGGCAAGTCACTTAATTCCAATTGCCTAAAAACAAACAAAAAAACCAAACAAATATATTTTGACAGACAGGTTGAATCTAATAAATAAGTAAATAAAATTTAATAAGGATGAATATAAAATCTTAACTTTTGGGAAGAATTGGCAGACAGATATTGTCTGAAAAGTTTGTGGGGCTGTTACTCAGTGTGATTGAATTCATTCAGTAAGCATTTATTTTATGCTTTGACATATGAAAATGTTGTGTTAGATATGGAGAACAGTGAGGATACAAAGAAAGACCCAGTAAAATAGCCTTCACTCTGGAAGGAGCTTCCATTCTAATGGAGGAGACCAAGGGATGCAAATAATTCCATACAAAATAAATATAAAACAAATATAGCATTATGTGGGCTGTATGGAAGGAAGGTGGTACTGATAATGACTGGGATCGGGAAAGTCTTTGGGGAAGAGGCAGCATTGAGATTAGCCTTGAGAGAAGCTAGAAATTCCTTGAGACTGAGGTGGAGAGGGGCTGTATTTCAGGAAATAGGGTGTGCAGAGGTTTAGAGGCAGGAGATGGAATATTGTATGTGGTACAGTAGGGGTAATGTGAAATTATTCAACAATTTGATAGGGAAGCCAGAAAAGCTAATGCCACAGCAAGAGAGACATGGCTCAGGAAGAAGGAGTTGATAATGTCTATGTACTCTAGCCTGGTCAGGCCATGTGATATTTTAGAAATGACATTGATAAACTGGAAAATATCCATAGAGGGACAACCAGGGTAGTGAGGGACGTCAAGATCACTAGAGATATTTGGCCTAGAAAAGAGAGACTTAGAGAAGGAGCACCTTTAAGTATTTGAAGGATTTTCATGTGGAAGAGGTTTAGACTTGTTTTCCCTGGCCCCAGAGGGCAGTAGGAGCAGTGGGTTAGATTAGAAAGAGAGACTAACCTAAGCTTGATATAAGGAAAACTATTCAATATTTAGAGCCATTCCAGATTAGAATGAATTGCCTTGGGAGGTAATAGGTTCCCCCTAACTGGAGGTCTTCATGGAAAGACAGATGAGCACCTATCAGATATATTGTAGAGGGAATTCTTGAATGTTTAGTGATGGTTTGGTTGGATGGCCATAGGTATCATCTGATATTGAGATTCTGTGATTCCTTTGCTAGCCTTGTTGTTGGAAGGTTGACCCACTAAGTAATCAAGTTTTTTTGGCCATGGTACTCCATCTGTATTGTTTTATTTTTGTCTCTGTATCCCTATTGTCTAGCATTATGTCTGGCATGTAGTATACACTTAGTAAATGCTTGATGGATGATTAATACATTAATCTCATTTTACAGATGAGCAAACTGAGGCCTTTGCCTTAAGGTTACACAGTTGTGGAATTGAGCCAGAAGATTTGGGTCTTCTGACTCCTGGTCCTCTCATGAATGTATCATTTTCATTGACCCTTGCCTAGTTCTGGAGTTTAGCCATCTGCACACATGATATTCTCATTTTTAATATTGGACAACAGCCATTGTTTTTAAGCTGGTTTTCTTGGTTTTGATGTCATGAAAGCCAACAATTCATACATGTTTCCCTTCTGAGTACCTGAGGTAAAACTGGAGAGTTGTGCCATAGCTAATTAAAAGGCAACTACACTATATTTATAGTGTAGTGGGAAAGTAATTGGAGATTTGTATTATTTGTGTGACACTGGGCAAGCTATTTAGCTTTTCATTGCCCCAGGAAACTCTGTAAGACTAATTGCTGAACAGGGAGGATCTAGATTGGCAGGGGAGGTTCCTCCCCTGTAGCTCCTTTTACCCATGAAATAACAGGTCTGACAAAAAGAGGAAAAGAAAGGAAAAAAGGAAAAAAAAGAAGTAGAGAAAAGACAAGAAAGATGACTGGCCTTGGAGTCAGGAAACCTTGTTTTAAAAATCCTTGCCCTCTCATACTTAAATTACCTTTATCCTCTTAGCTTCAGTTTTTTTAACTGTAAAATGGGGGTGATGTACATTAGAAGTTTTACAGAGTTGTTGTGAAGAAAGTACTTCTTAGAAGTACTATATATCTATATATAACATTATAAAAGTGCTACATAAGTTTGTTACGATTGTCATCATATTATACTACATGATAATTATAGTAATTATTAGGACATTTAATTATCCCTTACCTACTTCTAATGAGGTGCAAATTACTCATCTGCCATTCCTAAGTCCCTGTCTTGAGGCTAGTGATGTATGAAATGAAATTTTGTTTCTTCCCAGGTCATCATAAGGAGACATCTTCGAGATATAGATTAAGCAAATCTACTTAATTTGCTTTCGTGTGTAAAGCACTTCAGAGTTTCATAAGGAACATTTATTTTACTATATGGATCTAACTAGTTTTTAGTTTTACAAATTGCATAAGTGAAAAATTTGTGGACTATTTGTGGCTCAAGTCTTTCTGTTGAAATATCATGTCTTGATGATGAGAACAAGCATAATAACATTTAACTGTTTACGTTAATCTGTGTGTAAATTTAGAAAATTTGCCAATCCAGTTCAACAGACATTTCTTACATCTCCATGAACAAAACAAACAAAAAAATTTTACCTTTTACTGTGGGAGAAATTTAGCCTATGTAAATCATAAATTAAGAAAATTTGAGAAGATAGAGAATACTGATTGTTAAAATTGGGCAAGTTACAGTTTAAAAACAAACCAAAAAATGAAGCAGTACATTGGTAGCTTATATTTATTTTTAATAATGGGTGTCCCAAAAATCTTACTGCAAGTCCAAGCTTTAATAGCTATCAAAGCTTAAAACTGCTTTAAAAGTTTTGGGACACTGTATATCTGTATAATATCACACAGAAAATATTTAGGACAGCTAATACTAGGCAGCTAGGTGGTGCCATAGTTGACGGACGCTGGACCTGGAGTCAGGAAGATTCATCTTAAATTAAAATCTGGGCTCATACACTTATTAGCTGTGTGACCCTGTTGGCCTCAGTTTCCTCATCTGTCAAATGAACTGAAGAAGAAAATGGCAAATCACTCCAGCTTCTTTGCCAAGAAAACCCCAATAGGGTCAAAAAGAGTTGGACATGACTGAAACGACTGAACAAGAAAATACTTATTAATACCATACAGTGATTGGAATGGGGTCATTATTTGATATTTAAGCTTATATAGTATTTGAGGACCATTATTCTAAACATCAGTTCTGATTGCACAGAATCGTGGATGTACAACATGTAGGAGATGATCAGATTGGATTTTAATAATCAGGGATGTAACCCAGAACTTGTTTTTCAAAAAAATCAAATTCCTGTTTTCCACCTTTTTTTTTTTTTTGCTCTTTGCTCTTTTTTTCTGATGTTGATGGTATTTAAAAAACATCTAGTTATTTGAGGCTACCAGTTAGATGAATTATGGTGTTTAGAGGTTTAATTGTGATTTCTTTTTAGAAAAGTGTCTTGACTTTTCCTTTGCTTGTTCAGCCTGCTGTATGAAAATATCCTATTGCTTTGAGATTTTCATGTAGGTTGAGCTCTGCACTTATAACCAAGACTCTCTCCCAGAATTAACCCTTTAGTTAGCAAGGAGTTAATTTGTTTCACAAAGGTTTGAAATTATACTTATTATTGTTTTTAAACAATAATGTGAGGAATAATATCCTTTCTAGAGGTAAGTTGGAACTTTGAAAAACTTTCATTTTATTTCTTAATAACATTTAAGTCTTGTTCAAATAACATTCCATGTATATTAAAGAAGGAAGGTAAATGTTTAAATGTAGTTTTTATAACATTCTTGCAATGCACATAAACTTTCAAAACCTCATTTATTAATTTTTCCAGCAGCAAATAAACACAGGGAGCCTAGTGGCAGGGACAGCAAGTACCATAGACACGGAGTCCCTTAAGCGACCGCAGACATTCACGCCAGCAGGTATGTCCATAGCACAGGTTAGATTCTGTCTCAGGGTTGATTCTGTTTTTTAAGCTGTAATTAAAGTTTTCTTACATAGTTGATTCATGACTATTACTAAATAGTGTTTGTGAAGGCAGATATTCTTTGGTTCACTTGCAAATTTAATTTCTCCTTTGTCAACTTGTAGTTAAATTGCATTCTGTTTTTAAGCTAGATGTCACAGTATGGAAGCATATATCTAGAAGATAGGCTTTCTAAACAAATCAGTAGGCTTCATTTTTGTTTTGTACATAACTCTGTTAGCTACTTACTCATCCTAATATATTTGAAGGGCAGAAATACATTTTTGCTAATGACTTTTTTTTTAAACTACACCTTTTTGGAAAATTATTACAGAGCAATCTAAGAGACCTCGGCTTGAAGTGGGTCACCATGGAGTAGTTTTCCAGCATCCAGGGGTGACGACAGGAGTGCCTCTGCAACAGCTAATGCCTACTGCACAAGGTAAAACTTTAGCTTTAGGATATATATATATGTCCTAATATATATAGATATATCTATATATATCTATATATATCTGGCTTTATAAAAATAAAAATCGTTTCTAGCAAAGGATAGTGTTTCTGAAATTAGTTTTTATAATTGGGATATTTCATATAACTCCAAATTAGTATAACAATAACAGTTCCTGGGAAAATTCTTATTAACCTTAATGGAAGCCATCCATTTATTTAAATGTCAGTGATCTTTTTTCTTTTCATTTAATTTTTGTATTATAAGATTTTGCTCCCTGTTTCATATGGTTGCTTACATATAAAACAAAGGACAAAATCGTGCCCTAACCCTCCTAGCCTTTAACAAGAATGAACCAAACAAGTTAGCAAAGGACAAACAAGCAAAGAAAATGCTTGTGTTCGGTATATGCTTTTAACTCTGCCTGAAAGTCCACCACCATTGGGTCTATTTTTCTTTCTCTTGAAAAAAACATAATTGTAGTTAGTATGCATACCGTTCTGGTTATTTTATTTTATTTCATTTTACTCATTGTTAGAGATCTCTTTTGCAATTTTCGTCCTTGTAATTAGTTACTTTTTCCTCCTAATTGATGATATTGCAGTGATATTCTTTTGATATGTACATCTTCCCTGAAACTAAATACAAGTTCAGACTTTTTCCTTTTGTGTATACTTGTGGCAGTTATACTATATTAGTCATTTTCCTGCCATTTAGTTACTGTAATTAACTTGGATGTATTAAATTTGTTCTAAAGTGTTGGTGTCTTGTGGTAATGTAATTTGGAGTTCAGAAGCCATTTTCTGCTTGTTAAATGGGCAGAATACTTTAGGGCTTCAAAGTTGGTGGTATTTAGTTTTTTCTGGTTTTGCAGGTGGAATGCCTCCCACTCCTCAAACTGTGCAGCTCACTGGACAGAAACAGAACCAACAGCAGTATGATCCATCCAAAGGTCCTCCCGTGCAGAATGCTGCAAGTCTACATACTCCTCCACCTCAGCTTCCTGGGCGGCTGCAGCCTGCCAATGTTCCGGGCACATCCCTCCCATCAACCCTACAGATCTCACAGCAGCCCCAGCAGCAGATGATGGAGACTCAGCCCCCGCCACAGCCCCAGCCCCAGCCACAGCCACTGCCCCCAATTCCAGTGAAGACCCAGCCTCCCAGCGTACCCATTCCTGCTGCTCCAGCCAGCCAGCCCACAGCACCCCTTCCACAGCCTCTCATGCCAGCGCTCCATGTACAGATGCAAGGAAAGACGCAGATGCAGGTGTCTCCTCTTCCAACACAGCCCCAGGTATTCCAAAGATGTAACCCTGTATTCTTTAAAAGGTTTTGTTAATTTGAAAAAACTTTTTGTGGAACTGGATAAGAGTGCTATGTGAATTAGATGTATCACATACTGCAAAAACTTTCCCCCTTTTATCTGTGTTCCTTGAGCACAGTTGCTTAATTAGATAGTTGTAGGATTTTTACCTCATCAGATATTTTGCTACAGTTTAGGAACATCATTTTCTGCCATATTATGTAGTAGTTTGTAAATTTGGATAAGGCATTACTTAAAGGTCTGAATTCATGTCCTAATATAATATTCTCACTAATTTAATCACTCTTGCTATTTTAAAATTAACTTTTAAGAAATGAATTTGAGTTCTTATGAATGGTACTTAGCAGTTCATGAGACTAAAGAGCAGTGACTTTATAAAGAACTAGCACCTAGTTTACAGAAAGAAGATTGTAGAGCAGGGGTTTCTAACCTGGAATCCCTGAACTTATTTAAAAAAATATTTTGATAACTATTTCAATATAATTAGTTTCCTTTGTAATCCTATATATTTTGTTTATGCATATATAAACATGATTCTCAGACAGGGTCCATGGGATTCACCAGCCTGCTCAAAGGGGCAAGGGCATAAACAGGGTGAAGAATCTCTGCCACCCCCACCCCTACCCCCAGCCTCCCTTTCCGCAGGCAGAGAAAGTAAACTCTGTAAGGAATTACAAGACTTATCTCCTTCTCTCAGTTTTACAGCTGGGTTGACTTCAACATACAGTAAATATGATTCTTTTTTTTCCCTTCGAAACATTCAGTTACTTGGGATGAGGGTAGGGAGGAAAGGTAGCCTTTGAATTTATGTTCTTGATCATTTCTTTTTTTTTTTCTTTTACTTTTTTTTTTAAAAGGCAGTTGGGGTTAAGTGACTTGCCAGGGGTCACACAGCTAGTAAGTGTCAAGTGGTTGGTCTGAGGCCAGATTTGAACTCGGGTCCTCCTGACTTCAGGGCGAGTTGCTCTATCCACTGCACCACCTAGCTGCCCCTCTTGATCATTTCTAATCTAAAATTTATATAAAGAAACTTGGCCTTTCATGTATATACTTTTCTGTTTTTATAGTAACCTCCTTTTTAAAATAAGAGGTGGGTTTAACTTTCATATTATAATATGTTTTCTTCTAGGGTCACCTATAAGTTTCTTGGCTTAAAATGTTTTTCTTTAGATTTTTGTGGAAATGAATAGTTTTATTTTTGAATGGTTTTTCATGTTAGCTTTTTTACTGGTTTAGTGTGCCAAGGTAAGTTTCACGGGCTCATAAGAGTTGGAAAGGGCCCTAGAAATCCAACCCTCTAATTTTATAGATGAAGCTTAGGCCCAAAGTGACTTCCTGCAGGTCTCCCTGTAGTAAGTGGCAGAGTCAGGATTCAAGTTATGCACTTCAACTCTAAATGTAGTGTTATTCCCACTGTGTCATTTCGCCTCACAATTTTATCTTAAACTTTTTTTTTTATTGTTTAGTGTCTAGCATGCTATTTTTCTCAGTGTAGGTGACTAACATGTTGTTTGATTTGTTGAATTGTATTGCTTAGTGAAGACACTGAAAGAATTTTTCATTTTGAGGATCCTGAGTATAATGGAATTCTGCCTGGTGGGTTTTTTTAAGCTTGTCCAGTATTTCAAGACTTTTTTTTTTCTAGTGGAATTTCATGAAGCAACTTAAAATTACATATAAAGATTCTGGAATTCCTACTCATTGTCAACAAACCTAGAAACTGTATACCCAAGTTCAGTTACTCACTTTAATATTTCATTTACACTAGCTTTAAAAGCATAAACATGAATGAAAATGAAGACATTTGAGTATTTAGTTTTAAGTGGAGCATTTAGTAATAAAGATGCTATGCTTTTGTATTTGGGAAGTCAAAAACTTAAGTTCAGAGCAGCTTACAATTAACCACAAAAGTAAATGATGGAAAAAATTTTACGTGTCTTTGGGAGAAATTCACCTGAGTTATATATAGGAAGAAGTCCTATCTGAAACCTTATCATAATGTGGAGGCAGTTGTGGGTTTTTGAAAGCTAGGTGAGCAGATCAGAAGCAGACAGATTCCACTGCTCTAATGGTGGAGTAGAGGCCTGGCAGTAGCCACTGCCTGGTTTTCTGGGGGCCAGCCTAGCTCAGTACAGAGAGGCATACCAGGAGGGGAGGAATTATTTTGTCATGGCAGCTCAGGATATAAAGAAAAAGACTAAGTTGTTTGCTTTTGTAGTGACTGTGTTAGGAAAGGGGATGGATAGTGTTAAGAATCACAGCTTTTTGGACCAACTATATAAACATTAACATAACTTTTGGTACTTTTAAGTATGAGATCCTTTATATTCTGAAGAAACTGAATCATATTATATTAACGTCTTTTTCTATTGATGAATCCTAAATGCATAAGGAAATGGCAGGTACATGGAAATATGGCCCACAAGTTCTCAGAATGACAAATAGATAATTTGATAGATTGGTTCCTGTTGTGCTCAGAAGATAATAGTTCATTCATTTTGTTCATTTGTTTTTCAGTCATGTCTGACTCTTTGTGACCTCATTTAGGGTTTTCTTGGCAGAGATACTGGAATAGTTTGCCTTTTCCTTCTCCAGCTCATTTTACAGATGAGGAAACTGAGGCAAACAGGTCACACTGCTAATAAGTGTCCAATGCCAGATTTGAACTCAGGTCTTCCAGATTCCAGGTCATTGTGCCACCTAGCTGCCCCCAGAAAGTAATAAGAAACATTATTTCTTGGTACACTTGGTCAACTCCCATTGCAGTTGTCATGATGACCATGAGCAAAAAAATTGTCTTGAAAACAATTACTGTTTATGCAGCAACATCTATTTTAGAAGAAGAGGAGATAGAGAAATTCTACCAAATGGTGCTAAATTATTGGAATTCCCATACTGATCAGTTGGATGTTTTTTAAGGAAGCTCTTTTAGTTTTAAGTGGTATGAGCATATAGACATTCTCAAAACAAAGTTAAGCTTTGGTAGTAGTTATTTATATCAGTTATAGACATGGACAACATGGGAATTTGTTTTGCTTGACTGTGCATGTTACAAGGACTTTTCTTTTCAGTGGGGGGATTAGGAGGACAGAAAGTAAATGCTTATTAATTAAAAATAGTATGTAAAAATTACTTTTGTAAGTTAAAATGTGTTGGTCATTTGAGAATTTCTTAATCTAAAGACTTTTTGCTAATGAAGTTAAACAAGTATGTATTTCATACAATTTTATCTTAATTTTGGCTGACAAAATCCAAAAACCATTCTCTTTTGGTTCTTTGACTTGAATATGTTGGGTTATTTTTAATGAAGGAGAGGAAATCTGGCTTCTTATAGGCCTGCCTTTTGGTGGTTGATAGAGGAAAACCTCTCATAGTCAGGAATGCTCTTTACTGTATTTGGATTCCTCCTGATGAGCTTAATAGTTTAAAGCCATTCACTTCCAGGAGACTCTGAATGATTAGAAGTAAATAAACTAGAAAGAAGTGGTAACAAGGCATTTGGAGTTCTCCTGCAGCTCGCTATTATTTGCAGTTTAATATATTTAAAAGTTATTTTCTCTTGGCAGACTGTGGCTTTAACAAGACCACCTCCAGATTCTGGCCAGCCTTGTCAGCGTTCTGTACCCACCTCCTCATCTACCTCATCTGTCACACCAGCAAGTCTCTCAGGCCCAGTGCCCTCACCTGCACGATCATCGCCAGTAAATAGGCCCTCCCCAGCAACCAACAAGTCAATGTCTCCCATTACATCTCGGTCCCCAGGTGCCACAGTATCTGTCACCCCAAAACCTCAGAGCCCAGCTCAAAATACCACTCAGTCCCAGGATACTGCCCAAGAGAAACTGGCTGAACAAGTAACTCTGGTAAGGAAATAAATGTAAAATATTAAAGTTCTTGGGTTATAATTGAAGAAGAAATTCAGTTTTTGAAAGGAAAGTATAATTTTTTGGTTTTAAAATGAAGTATCTTAAATAAATTTTAAATGTTTAAAATGAAATATTCTAGATTCCAGACAGCAGAGTACTTCAGTTTCTTATCCACTTAGTAGAAATGAAGAGAATTTATTGTGTAAATAATAACCCTTTCACAGTGCCAGAGTTGTAATGGTTGGTTTCAAATGCTTGTTCACTTGACTTGTGTGACATTATAGACAGAGAGCTTTACCTCACTCATGTAGTCAGGAAAACTGAAAACAGTACATAAATATCAGTTGTTATATGTCTGTGATAAAATAAAACTGCCTGAAATACAAACTTGTTTTTGAAACTGAACTCGGTAAGTCCTTAAAGAAGACTTGGGCAAAACTGCATTGCATTTTAAAATCTCATGTGACACTTCTAGGGACAGTAACCTTCAGCGTTGGTATAAATAAACGTGAGCTCTTCTTTCAGTTAGGCAATAACATTTATTAAGAGTCCACTGTATAATGAGCACTAATTTGTATTGGGAAAAACAAAGAGCTGAGTTAAATTTCAGACATAAGAAAAACATATTTACAGAGCATACTTGCTTCTTGTTCTATGTTCCAGTTGTCCACATGGGGTAAAGTAGACCAGGTGGTGAGTTGTTATTGGTTGAAGTTCATAACATTTTCCTTTTAGTACTTGATGGGCATTTTTACCTTGTATTATAGTTATCTGTGTGCACATCTTATAAATACCTTTATAAAAAAATTAATTCATTTTTAATTTTCAACAATCATTTCCATAAGCTTTTGAATTTTAAATTTTTTTCCCCTCCCTCCCCACCTCCCTCCCTAAGACATCATGCAATCTGATATAGGCTATACGTATACATTCCTATTAAACATATTTTCATATTAGTCATGTTGTAAAGAAGAATTAGAACCAATAGGAGGAACCACAGGAATGAAGAAACAAAACAAAACAGAAGAAAAAAAAGAGCAAATAGTATGCTTTGATCTGCATTCAAATCCCATAGTTCTTTCTCTGGATGTAGATAGCATTTTCCATCATGAGACTTTTGGAGATGTCTTAGATCCTTGTATTGCTGAGAAGGGTTAAGTTTATCAATATTAGTCATCACATAACGTGGCTGTTATTGTGTGTAACGTTCTCTTGGTTCTGCTCACTTTACTCAGCATCAGACCATACAAGTCTTTCCAGGTTTTTCTGAAGTCAGCCTGTTCATCATTTCTTATGCACAATAGTATTCCATTACATTCATATACCACAACTTGCTCAGCCATTCCCCAATTGATGGGCATCCTCTCAATTTCCAATTCTTGGCCACCACAGAAAGAGCTGCTATGAATATTTTTGTACATGTGGGTCCTTTTCCCATTTGTATGATCTCTTTGGGATATAGCCCTCGAAGTGCTATTACTGGGTCAAAGGGTATGCACATTTTTATAGCCCTTTGGGCGTAGTTCCAAATTGCTCTCCAAAATGGTTGGACTAGGGGGCAGCTAGGTGGTGCAGTGGATAGAGTACTGGCCCTGGATTCAGGAGGACCTGAGTTCAAATCTGGCCTGACACATAAGACTTACTAGCTGTGTGACCCTGGGCAAGTCACTTAACCCTTTTGCCTAGCTAAAAAAGACCCCCCCCCAAAAAAAAATGGTTGGATTAGTTCATAACTCCACCAACAATGCATTAGTGTTCCAATTTTCCCACATCTCCAACATTTTTCATTTTCCTGTTCTGTCATGTTAGTCAATCTGATAGGTGTGAGGTGGTACCTCAGAGTTGTTTTGATTTGCATTTCTCTAATCAGTAGCTATTTAGAGCATTTTTTCATGTGACTATAGATGGCTTTAATTTCTTCATCTGAAAACTTCCTGTTCATATCGTTTGACTATTTATCAATTGGGGAATGACTTGTATTCTTATAAATTTGACTCATTTCTCTATATGTTTTAGAAATGAGGCCCTTATCAGAGACATTGGTTGTAAAAATTCTTTCCCAGTTTTCTGCTTCCCTCCTAATCTTGATTGCATTGGCTTTGTTTGTGCAGAAACTTTTCAATTTAATGTAATCAAAATTATCCATTTCACATTGCATAATGTTCTCTGTCTCTTGTTTGGTCCTAAATTCTTCTGTTCTGTATAAATCTGATAGTTAAACTATTTCTTGCTCTCCTGGTTTGCTTATAGTATTAGCCTTTATATCTAAATCATGAACCCATTTGGACTTTATTTTGATATGTGGTGTAAGATTTTTGTCTACATCTAGTTTTTGCCATATTCTTTTCTAGTTTGCCCAGCAGTTTTTGTCAGATAGTGAGTTCTTATCCCAGAAGCTTATGTCTTTGGGTTTATCAAACAGTAGATTACTATAGTCATTGACTACTGTATCTTGCTTGCCTAACCTATTCCACTGATCCACCACTCTCATTTCTTAGCCAGTACCAAGTAATTTTGATGATTGCTGCTTTATAATACAATTTAAGATCTGGTATGCTTAGGCCACCTTCCTTAGCATTTCTTTTCATTAGTTCCTGTGATATTCTGGACCTTTTGTTCTTCCAAATGAATCTCGTTATTATTTTTTCTAGCTTTATAAAATAATTTTTTGGTAGTTTGGGGTGGCATTGAATAAGTAAATTAACTTTGGTAGAATAGTCATTTTTATTGTATTAGCTCTACCTGCCCATGAGCAAGTGATGTTTTTCTAGTTATTTAGATCTGACTTGTGTGAAAAGTGTTTTGTGGTTGTGTTTATATAGTTCCTGGGTTTGTTTCGGCAGGTAGACTCATAAATATTTTATAATGTTTACAGTAACTTTAAATGGAATTTCTCTTTCTATCTCTCATAAATACCTTTTTCAAAAGGAATAAAATTGATAAACTGGTGTGAAGAAATTCAGAATGCTTAGGGGAGAAAGGAGGTAGAGATTATTTAGATGAAGGATCAATAGAAGTGTAAATAAAAATGATTTTGTCATAGAAATATACTCTAAACCACCTAGTCAGAAGGAAGAATTCAGTGAGAAGTTTGAGAAACAGATAAAAAATGTCTCACTGCATCATAATATTGTATGATGGAGAACTTCAACTTTTCAGACACTGCTGGAGCTTTTTCTCTGGCCGAGGTGGTCCAGTCGATAAATTTGTCCCTTACTTTCATGATAATTTCATCCTTCAAAAGGTAAAAGAAACAACAACAGCTGTTCTAGACCCAGTTCTCAGCAGTAAGGAAAAACTGAAGTAGAAATAGTAGGTAGATTACAGTATTGTTTCAGTTTTCTTATCCAAGGTGAACAATCTTTAGACTGGGAATTATAAAACAATAATTGTTTAGCAGGAAATGGGAATCTCAGGTAATAGACAAGACGACTAGGTGGTATTTAGATGCTATGAAAGAATTCATGTCACCAGGCCTGGACAAACATACCTACCATATTGACAGAACTTGCCTATTTGATTTCAAAGCTGCTATTGATGATCTTTGAAGTGTTGAGAAATTGCCATAGAACCTAACAGAGCAGATACCCCAAATTTCAAAAAAGGAACACAGATAGATTCTGCAAAGTATAGACCAGTGAACTTCTATTCAAATTCTACAGCATATTATTAAGGGGATAGATTAGAGCACTTTGAAAAGGATAGTGGTGATTATTAAAAGCCAGTGTAGCTTCATCTAGAACAGGTCATTTCAGTTTAACTTCATTTTCTTTTTTGAAAGAGTAATGATATTGGTAAAGAGTGGAAGTCCTATAGACATTGTCAGTGACAAAGTCCTTCCTTTTATGCTTGTGGATAAGAGAGGGAGAATAATAAAAATTGATGACATTGTAACAAGTTGAATGCCTGGATCCAACCATTGGTCACTGATGGGTTTGTGTTAACTTGGAAGGGTGTGTTTGGTTTAGTACCCCTGGTATCTATTGCTTGCCCAGTGCTTTTGGCATTTTTATCAGTGACTTGGATGAAGCCTATAATAGCATACTTGTCAGATATGCAGTTGATAAGTAATTTCAAAAGGTAGCTAACACATTGGATTACAAAGCCTGGCAGCCTAGCATTGGATTACAGAGCCTGGCAGCCTAGCTAGATGAACTGAATTGAACAAAATGAAATTATGAAATTAAATAAGGATGAGTTCTAAACTTAGGTTAAAAAAATGAACTGCACAAATATAGAGTAGGGGAGATGTGGCATAGCAGCTTTTTTTTGTGAAGAGGAGCTGGGTTTTTAGTGGTTGGCATGTTCAGTATGAGCTGACAATGTGATTATGGCAAGTAAGCTAATGCTATCTTATACTGCATCAGGAAAGGTAAAATGTACAGGGAAGTGGTCATCATGCTTTAGTCTTAACTGGGCACCATATCTTAGGTATCAACACACTGGAGTGTGGTACTCCATGAGAGTGAAAGGACTGGAGAGTATCACATAGGGGCTTTTAAAGAAATTGATAATATTTACTATGTAGAAGAGATAGCTTGGGGGTGACAGCAGTTGTCTTCAAATATTTGAAGGCCAGCAGTGGAGAAGGACGAGATTTGTTTGGCTTGGACCTAGTTTACCGAACTAGGATCAGGTCTGGAGGTTGCAGTGAGGTGATTTAGGATTAAAGTAAGGAAAAACTTCTTAAGAACTAGGGCTGTCTTCAATAGCACTTCTAGGGCTGTATCCCAGAGATCATACAAATGGGAAAAGGGCTCACATATACAAAAATATTTATAGGAGCTCTTTCTGTGGTGGCAAAGAATTGGAAATTGAGGGGATGCCCATCAATTGGGGAATGGCTGAACAAGTTGTGGTATATGAATGTAATGGAATACTATTGTGCTATAAGAAATGATGAGCAGGTGGACTTCAGAAAAACCTGGAAAGACTTGAACGGACTGATGCCGAGTAAAGTGAACAGAACCAGGATAATGTTGCACACAGTAACAGTCACGTTATGTGATGACTAACTTTGATAGACTTAGCTCTTCTCAGCAATACACGGATCTAAGACATCTCCAAAAGTCTCATGATGGAAAATGCTATCTACATCCAGAGAAAGAACTATGGGATTTGAATGCAGATCGAAGCATACTATTTGCTCTTTTTTTTTCTTCTGTTTTGTTTTGTTTCTTCATTCCTGTGGTTCCTCCTATTGGTTCTAATTCTTCCTTGCACCATGACTAATATGAAAATATGTTTAATAGGAATGTATATGTATAGCCTATATCGGATTGTATACTGTCTTGGGGAGGGAAATGGGGAGGGAGGGAGAGAGAAGAATTTTAAACTCAAAAGCTTATGGAAGTGATTATTGATAAATCAAAATAAATTAATTAAGAAAAAAAAAGAACTAGGGCTTTCTGAAGGTGTGATGGACTGCCTGCCTTAGGTTGGTAGCAGGTTACTGCTCATCGGAGGCCTTTGAGAAGATACTGGATGATGCCCTGTTTGGAAGTATTTGTAGAAGGGCTTCGTATTTTTTATTTTTTTTAAAATTAATCTTTTCTTTTTTTTTTTTTGGCTAGGCAATGGGGTTAAGTGACTTGCCCAGGGTCACACAGCTAGTAAGTATTATGTGTCTGAGGCCAGATTTGAACTCAGGTCCTCCTGAATCCAGGGCCAGTGCTCTATCCACTGCGCCACCTAGCTGCCCCAAGAAGGGCTTTGTATTGTGTTGGGCTAGATGAAAATCCCTTTCAATTCTAAGATTCTGAGATCCTTTTTTCCTTCTGTGAGTTTTGTCTTATTTAACTTTTGTCCCTGGTATCTAGCACAGTGTCTCACCCATAATAGTTACTTGGTAGATATTTCTTGAATTTAATTGAGTTGAGGGATGTTAGAGATATGAGAGACACTAGTGAGGATGAATTCGTAAGACTTAGTAGCTTAGCTGAACATTAGAAGTGAGGGGGACAAAACTGAATGAGCCCATTATTCTTTCCTAAAATTATGCTCCTATTTCTAACTTTACTATTTCTGTTAAGCTGATGAGCTTATTTTTAAACATCCTGAATTAGAGGTGTCCCTGGGACAACTAGGTTGAGATGTCTCTTAGGCAGTTGGAAATTAGATCTGAATTCTCTTTATGGAGGTCATAGTTGAAACTACAGGAATTGCATGATAATATATGAAGTTATTGAAGTGTTGAGGTATAGAGAGAATAGAGCTAGGCTAAGTCTTTTGGTAAACACCTATATAGGAAACACCCATAGGAAAAGGAAAGGGGGTATCTCCTGGCTGTTCCAGCTCATGTTAATGTCAGTGTCTGTTAATGGTCTCTGAACTTCTGTGGTCCTTGATCAGTACTGTGTAGCCTGACAGTTGATTGTATACCGAGTTGAGTTGTCTTTTGGTTGTTTTCATGCTTAGAAGTCTTATCTCCCTCCCTCTCTCCACTGAATTATAAGGGGACTATGTTTTCTGTTACTTTTGAATCTTCCTAGGTCTAGCATGTGCTGAGTAGATATTGAATAAATACTTATTGATCTGATTTTTCTAGGAAACTCAAATCCATCAAAGAATATCAGAATTGAGAAAGGAAGGCCTGTGGTCTCTTAGACGCTTGCCAAAACTTCAGGAGGCCCCACGACCAAAGTCTCACTGGGATTATCTCTTAGAAGAGATGCAGTGGATGGCAACAGACTTTGCACAAGAGAGGAGGTGGAAAATGGCAGCTGCAAAGAAGGTAGGTCTGTAATATAGGTAGTCCATTTTTTACTGATGGGCTGTGTTGCAGAGTTTAATTTATGATTTCACAGAATTGGTATTTGGAATGAATTTTCCATATAAACGATGTTACATGTGATGATTAAGTTCTCAGAGCAGTTCACAAAAGCTCATTTAATCCATAACTCTCTTGATATCTATCTATCTATCTATCTATCTATCTATCTATCTATCTATATACACACACACACATATATATATATATATGCACACACACATACACATATATATACACACACACATATATGTGTGTATATATATATATATTACTGTGGTCCTTAAAAACTAGGACTGTTTTCCTATGGGAAATTTTGTTAAGAGTGCTAAGCTGGGATGTCAGGAATTTTTTACCACACTATAGCCCTGGTAGCAGAATTTGAACCTATTAGAGATATAAAGAACTGACTGGCCTGCCCTTGAATAGGTACAAGAAGGACTTGGCTTCAAAGAATGGCTATAGTAGGCATCCTCTTAGAGGATGTGGTGGTCAGGGAATTCTTGGGTCAGAATGAAGACAGGGTCTCCTGGGGAGGTTGGAGATGAGGTTCAGTAGATAGAAGGTCCAGAGAGCCGATGGAAGCTGGGACCTGCCAACTGAAGTGAGTGCAGTTGCTGCTGTGGAGTTTACTGCTCTTCCTTCTTTCCCTTTCCCCCTCACTTTACCATTGCCCATTCTGTCACCTTCTGGGTTGTAAGGAGGTTATTGGGTTTGGGGAGAAGGAAGAAGGAACAAAGTAGATTTACTGTGGCCACAACTTTAAGTAGCCCCTGATAGAAAGAGGATTTCCAGAAGTCTATCCGTTTTGTACATTGCATATTTACATAGAGAAGCCAGATTTTGCTCCTTATATCAATCAGTATATATGAATTGCACAAGTATAAAAGGGGATAATTTGGAGCCACAATGTAGAATATTTAATATTTCAACCAAATGTATTTCAGCATCTGATTTTAGGAATTTAATTGTCCAGTTACTAGTGTTAAAAGTAGGTAAGTGTGTTTGACTTGTAGTATCTTTTCCTCTAGTGTGAGACAGTGCAAAGTTTAAAATTTAAATATTTTCACTTAATAGCTTGTCAGAACTGCAGCTCGTTATCATGAGGAAAAGAAGCTTCATGAAGAAAGAGGAAAGAAAGAGGAACAGAACCGATTAAGACGTATAGCTGCTTCAACTGCTAGAGAAATAGAATATTTCTGGTCAAATATTGAACAGGTAATATTGACCTGCTAGTGTAAATTTTCATTTCTTGTAAGGAATTTGTATGGCCTTTTGAGCATTGCACTTAAATAGAATTTTATATTAAAATGTTGACAGTTTAGAGAGAATTTTCTTGCTGAGGCCAATAAATCATGTTGCATTACTTAATAATGTAAATAAATAAAAGTGCTTATACCTTTTCTCCTCTTTGTTTGAAAAATAATATTGACTCATTTGATGGAGTTAGGCATTTCTTTTGCTTTCTTCCTGATGTTTTAGAATAGTGATGTTTGCCTTCAAAGAGGAAAATCAGGATCTTTTTAGGAAATAATACTTATTTTTGGCGAGGTAGTGTGTTGTAGAAGGAGTACTAGATTGGGAGTCTGAGGACCTGGATTAGGGGTGATCCTAGTTCATTATTTGCTAGCTGAATGACCATGGTCAAATCACATGCCCTATTAACCTCTGCTTGTTCATCAAAAGAAAATGCCTCATAGACTGTGGTGAAGCAATACTCTTTTTAAGTCCCAAGTAGTTTCATCAATGTAAATTGTCACTGTGACTGGAGTCTTTGAGGGACACCAAGAAAGCCCAGATATTATTTTTGCATCTATCTGTACAAAAATCCTCTTCATTTTTTATCCCTGGTGCCTTTTGCATAGTTGGTACTTAATAAAATGTTTGTTGAGTTGAATTTCATTACTGTGGTTTTTCTGATTCTTCTTTCATCTTCTGTCCCAGTAAAATCAAATAAGGACGTGAATATATAACTAAACCCAAACAAATGAACAACTACCAAATTGAGAATTTCTAATTAGTTATTTAGAATAGAAAAGGAGCCTATATTTGGGGTATCATTTTTTGTGCTCATTAAAGTTTTTCCTATGTTTTGTTCTAAATCTTCTTGTTTGTAATTAAAGACCTTAGTGCTTTGTTCATTTATTTGACCATTCGTTGTTTTAGGTTGTAGAAATAAAACTGCAAGTTGAATTAGAGGAGAAAAGGAAGAAAGCCTTAAATTTACAGAAACCATCCAGAAGAGGTACAGTGTCTTTTAATTCTTTTTTGTTTTTATTTCCCTGCAATACAAACCAACATTCTTTGTGATTCTGGAGCTGCTGAGCTAGAACATACAGTGCAAATGCTATAGGTAAATTTCTTTAATTTATATTCCAGTAATTCAGAATTTGAAGTAACCAAGACAGAAAGTTGAGGCATAGCTTTACCTAAAGTCGAGCCTGGGTCAGAAGAGGGGAGAGTCACAGCTAGAGGAGAATTGCTTGGATAATCGAGTGGGGTCATTTGTAAATGTATGCTAATTATTTGTATTGCTCAGTGAAGATGTGTTTACTGATTGGAAGTAGGATGTTTGGCTTACTTAAGAGTAAAACCAAATATGTTTTGTACATCTTATAAAACTATTTTATCACTCTTTTGAATACAACTTGTTAATTATTAATGAATCTTAGAGATTTTTATTTAAGAAATAATATTTCATGTGAACTGTTATTTAACCTCAGACTTAAGAAGCTTTAAAAAAATATTCTTCACAATTTAGACTTTTTAAAAATTCTTATTAGATTTCCTGCTCCCTAGTCTGTTTCCATTAAGTCTGTATTAGTGAAGTTTTAATGTATTATCATATTGCAGTTCTGTGGTTCTAATAGTCTTATGATTTTTTGTGATTAATTACCATGTATTTATTACTGAAGTAGTTTTTTTTTTACTTCTCTTTTCAATCTTGAAGTCTTTATGAATGTGTTCTTTTAAGTCTTTTTCAAAGTATTGATTGCTGTGTTTTTTAATTCATTAGGAAGCAGGTTTTATTTGTGAACTTTAGGAACTCATGCGATCGGTTGATTGACAAGAATGTATCTGCTGTGGAAGAGAGGATCTTTTGAAGGGAGTTTAAGATGTCTCCAGGACATCCAGTTTGAAATATCCAATAGGCAATTGGTGATGTGGGACTATAGGGCAGGGAAGCAACTGAGATCTTAGGGTCGATTTTCCAGAGATTCTAGTTAAACCCAGGATAACTGAAGAGGTTACCAGCAGAGCACAGAGGGTGAAGAACAGCTGCTTTTATCACCATATCAGTTCCTGGGATTCTGCCCTCTTGAGAGATTTAATCTCTGCAGCTAGAGCTAGACTCACTTTCTGAACCTTAGAATTCTCTAGCTTAGTTTAGCCTGCCATTGGACTGGTATTAGAGAAACCCTAGGTGTACAGAGCTTGGTTTAGGTTTGTAGAGTTGGGAAAATGGATGAGAGACCACCCTGGACTTAAAGTGCCTGGAAACTCATGTAGGATTCTAGGTGAGGTAGGAGTCTGGCTGGCTTTTTTTTTTTAATTTTTGAAAGTAATATTTATTTGGTGAATTTACATGTGAGTTCATTTACAGAAGAAAAGTTAAAGACAAATGTAGTTTTCAGTGCAGTTTCAAATATTTTAAGAACAGGCAACAGTCTGTGAGGATTTGTAATGATAATATTGAATGGCACATGCATCATTTTCCTTTGTGTAGTTTTTTTTTCTACCCCTCTCCAGGGGGAGGAAGGGAGAAGAGTAGAAGAAAATGTCAATGTCAATGAAAATAAGGCCATGCAAATAAAAACCTGAGAATCAGAGGAATTTTAAGTTGGGGATAAGTAACCCTCCTGAAGTCATCAGTAGTTGTCTTGGAAGGTGCATAATTTAAAGACTAAAAATGGAGAGAGAGTCCTGGTTGTCAAAAATTTTTCACTTTCCAATTTGCTATCTTTAGACCCATGATCTCCTCCTAAAGCCAGGAGTTACCCCTGCTATGAAAGAGGGACCAATCTCATAGATACTTCAAAGGTAGTGTTTGCACTGACAAAGTTTATTTGGTTTCAGAAGTATAAGCACCCAGTGAATGCTGGCCCTTTGGATAAGCAGCATCTCCTCATCCCAGACCCTGTATACTAACAAGATTTTAGTTCCCTAGAGGGATGGCATAAAGCCCTAATATATTGTGGTATGTATTGCCTAAGGCTCAGGCTTAGTGAGACACTATCCAATGCTGGCTGGCTTTTTTTAGGATTCTTATGCATATGTACCTTATTTTTTATTTTAAAACTATATATATATATATATATATATATATATTTTTTTTTTTTCAATCTGCAAAGACCTGCCTTCTCACCCTCCCACCCCAATCTATCCCTTACCCCCACCCCCATTCAGAATAAAATAAAAACACAACCCGTTATAAAATTATGGATAATAAAGCTAAACAAATTTCTGCATTGGCCATTTCCAAAAAAAATTATGTCTCATTCTGTACTCTTTTGAGTTCTTCACTTCTCATTGGAAGGTGGATAGCATGTTTTAAAATTTTTTTTGGAATTGTGGTTGATCATTACCCTAATCAGAGTTCCTAAGTCTTTCTTAAAGACTTAATTGTCTTTACCCTATTGTTGGCTTTGTATAAATTCTTTTGGCTCTGTTCAGTTTACTCTACACCAGTTCATAGAAGTCTTCCCAAATTAATCTGAAACTGCCTTTTTTTTTAGGGCATCTATTTTTTATTTTTTTTAAATTAAATTAATTTATTTGTTTTTAGTTTTCAACATTCACTTCTCTAAGATTTTGAATTCTAAATTTTCGCTTCCTCCCTTGCCTCCCTGCTCCCCAAGATGGCATGCATAGGCTTTACATGTACAATCACATTAAAGATATTTCCACATGAGTCATGTTGTAAAGAAGCATCAGAACAAAAGAGAAAAATCACGAGAAAGAAAAAACAAAAAAGAGCAAATAGTATGCTTTGATCTGTATTCATACTCCATAGTTCTTTCTCTGGATGTGGGTAGCATTTTCCATCATGTGTCTTTTGGAATTGTCTTAGATCCTTGCAGTGCTGAGAAGCACTAAGTCTAACAAAGCTGATCTTCGCACAGTGTTGCTGTTATTGTGTGCAGTGTTCTCCTGGGTTATGCTCACTTCACTCATCATCAGTCCATCCGAGTCTTTCCAGGTTTTTCTGAAATCTGCCTACTCACCATTTCTTATGGAACAGTAGTATTCCGTTACATTCATATACTACAGCTTATTCAGCCATTCCCCAATTGATGGGCATCCCCTCAATTTCCAATTCTTTGCCACCACAAAAAGAGCTGCTATAAATATTTTTGTATATATGGGTCCTTTTCTCTTTTTTATGGTCTCTTTGGAATACTGACCTAGCAGTGGTAATGCTGGGTCAAAGGGCATGCACAGTATTATAGCCCTTTGGGCACAGTTCCAAATTGTTCTCCAGGATGATCGGATCAGGTCACAACTCTACCAGCAATGCCTTACTGTTCCAGTTTTCCCACATCTTCTCCAACATTTAACATTTTCCTGTTTTGTCATTTTAGCCAATTTGATAGATGTGATATGGTATCTCACAGTTGTTTTAATTTGCATTTCTGTAGTGATTTAAAGCATTTTTTTGTATGACTGTAGATGGCTTTAATTTCTTCACCTGAAAATTGCTTGTTCATATTCTTTGACCATTTATTAATTGGGGAATCATTTGTGTTCTTACAAATTTGAGTCCTCTATGTATTTTAGAAATGAAGTCTTTATCTCTCTAATTTATTCTGTTTTTTTAGTGATTGAATGGCTATTTTTAAAAATATAGTTTTCATTTTAGTTTTCAGCATTCACTTCAATAAGATTTTGAGTTCTAAATTTTCTCCCCTCCTTGAAACCATCTTCTTTATCATTTCTTACGACATAGTAGTTTTCCATCCCATTTGTGTACTTTAACTGGTTCAACCATTCACCATATATACCCCCTCAGATTTCTATTCTTTGCTGCCTTAAAAAGAGATATAAATATTTTTGTACATCCTTAGTTTTGTTTTTCTTTTTCTGTGGGCTAATACTTCCCCTAATCTACCCTCCCTTTAATTTCCCTTTCTTCCTTCTCCTCCTATTTCCCTATTGAAGTAATGCATCTTTGTACCCAACTCTATGTGTGTATATGTTCTTCCTTTAACTAGTTTAAATCAGAATGAAGTTCAGGTGTCAACTTTTCCCCCACCCTCTTCCTTGTTTGTACAAATGTCTGCTTGCACAGCCTGATTATGTGAGATAATCCTCTCCCTGCCTCCCACCCTCCCCCATATTCCTTCTTCTCTTCCCATTCATAGAATCACTTCCAGACCATGTCTAATTAGACTCCCTCTATGATCCTGATCTGTGATGATGGTAGGGTTCAGAGAGGACTCATGTATCATCTCTTCATATTAGGATGTAAGCAGTTTATCCTTGTTTAGTCACTTAAGGTTGTTCATTCATGTTCACCTTTTTTTTTTTTTTGGCAAGACAGTTGGAGTTAAGTGACTTGCCCAGGGTCACACAGCTAGTAAGTGTAAAGTGTCTGGTCTGAGGCTGGACTTTAACTCATGTCCTCCTGAGTCCAGAGTTGGTGCTCTATCCACTGCACCACCTAGCTGCCCTTCGTGTTTACCTTTTTAATGTTTCTCTTAACTCCTGTGTTTGAACTTCAAAGTTTCTACTCAGCTGTGATCTTTTCATCAGGAATACTTGAAAGTCATCTTTTTCATTAAAGGTCCTTTTTATCCCCCTATAGCATTATGCTGTTTTTCTTGGCTGCAAGTCTATGACCTTTGCCTTCTGGAAATTTTGTGTTCCTCCTCCTTTGCATATTTATAGTGGTGGCTCCAAAATTATGTGATTCTTACTGTGGTTCCTTGATACTTTTTTTTTTTTGAGGCATTGGGGTAAGTGTCTGAGGCTGGATTTGAACTCAGGTCCTCCTGACTCTAGGGCCAGTGCTCTGGCTACAGCACCACTTAACTCTCCCTGATACTTCTTTTCAGCTGCTTTCAGTATTTTTTCTTTGATCTATAGTCTCTGGATTTTGACTGATGTTCCTGAGAGTTTTCATTTTGGGGTTTTATTGGAGAGGTGATTGGTGGATTCTTTCTATTTCTGCTTTGCTCCTTCATTCTAAGAGATCCAGGAAGTTTTCTTTTGAAATTTTTTGAAATATGATGTTTTGACTATGTTTTTGGTCATAGTGTTCAGGTAGTGCAGTGATTCTTAAATTTTTTTCTCCTTGGTCTATTTTCCTGATCCATTTTTGCTCTGAGGTATCTTAAATTTTCTTCTATTTTTTCAGTCTTTTGACTTTGTTTTAATATTTCTTGGAGTCATTGGCTTGGAGTCATTGACTTCTGTTTGTCCCATTCTGATTTTCAGGGAGTTTATTGCTTGGTCAAGGTTTTGTACCTCTTGGGCTGAGCTATTAATTTCCTTTTTTAATTCTTCTATATCTTTTATTCTTTCCCCCCCCCCACCAAGTTTTCCTCTTGTACTCTCATTTTCTTGATAAAAACTTTTTAAAAAATTCTTTTAAAAACTCTTGATTCTCCTCTTCCAGGAATTCTAGTTGAATTTGTACCCAAGTGATGTTTTTCTCTGGGGCTTCACTTATAGACATTTTGGAATCAATCTCTTCTTCTGGGTTTGTGTTTTGAGTGTTCCTGTCATCATAATAGCCTCTAATGATGGTATTCTATTTTTGTTTTCTCTTTTTTCCTATCTACTTCCAGGCTTCAGACTTGATGTTAGGGCTGGGTTCTGTGTGCTCCTGGAGGGCTGGTCTGGGTTCTTCCTATTGCTGCTTTCTTGGAATATTGACTGTTTCATTGTTCCAGGTTCTCTGGGACAGCTCAAGCTGGGGACCTATAAGTTTTCAGTGTTCCCAAAGTGGTCTGATTCATGTCCCCCTAGTCTGAGCTCTGTAAGTTTCTGACCTGGGTTTGGGTCTGCAGCAGTCTGCTTAGTCAGGTGGGAGGCTCTGCTGGTGCAGAGTGACAGAACTGTATAGGTTCCCCTTTGGATTGAGATTGTTGCCCTGGTTATTTCTACAGAGGCTTCAGATTTGAGTAGATACTGGAACTGAGACCCTCCACTCTCCTGCACTGGTGCTGCTTGCTTCTGAACTTTCTCTTTGCTCTGTACACAGGCTAGGACCAGGGACTGCTCTTTACCTTAGAACCCAAGTCTCTTCCTCAGTACACCTGGATTTGTGACCCAGAACTCTGTAGTGGGCGACAGGGTTGCTAGTTGGCGCCCACTCCCTATATGTTTGTTCCCTGGTGTGCACCATAGGGCGTAGCTTTTCTTTTTCTGTTGTACGATGTGTGGTTGCTCCTCTTACACCTGATCTTTAGTGTCCACAGACCTCTTTGTTTCCTTTGTTGACCCAGGCTGGAAAAATGACTCCCTGTGACTTCTTTTTGAATTTTCCCATCAGGATTCAGCCTGGTACACTTTCTAGATGTTTGGAGGAGTTTTGTCTTGGGGAACTCTCTTTACTCCTTCCTGCCACTCCATCATCTAACTCTGCCTCCGGATATGTATTTTAAAACTGTTTACATAGGTTGATAGATTGTAAGAGGTATCTTAAGAGACTTAATGTCGTGACTGTGGGTCATGTTTGTCTTTGGTCGCTAGGATGGATTGGGCAGGAATTACCTATACTTATTCTTTTTCATACCTAGAAAGGGGTGATTAGGACTGAGAATTAGCCATATTGAGAGGTTCTGAATCTTACATGGTTAGTATCTCAATTACAATTTTAATGTGCTAGCTTAAATATTTATTATTAAAAACCTAATATATTGCATTTGTTTTCAGGGAAAGATTCAAGGCCTAAGGGACTTCATGCTTTCCCAGAGCATTTTATGGTGAGTTTAGAATTGCTTCATTTGTGTAAAAAGAACAGAAAAAACTCCCTCTAAATAAAAAGCAAGAACAATGTGATTAATACTTGTTCTAATAAAATTGTGTTCTGTTTTTATATACTTTTTACTGAAGACGTACAAATAACATTGCTTCAGGAAATTTTTATAAACATCCAACTCAGCTAAGCGTGGGAATTTCGTACGATAGTTCTGGGCTCTCATGGTCGCTGACCCGGGAACTTTGGGAGGGAAACTCTGGTGCCCAGGGAATTGTGAATAAAGTGAGTTGAATAGAACTTTTAACCCTGTATGTGGCATAATCATCTTTGTGCCAGTTTTTACAAGCGAAGATGGTTGGGAAGATGGTCAAAGACCTCAAATGCTATAGTTCTAAACAGTGTAACTTACTAAAACGTTATGTTCTGTATTCATAGGCCTCGTATTTGTGACATTTTTCTTTACTCTTTAGGACTCTGGAATATGTGGAAGAAAAATAAAAGTTAGTACATCCTTAACTGATGATGAAGGTCTGTATCTTTTTTTTTCTCTTCAAAAGATGCCAACTACAGAATGTCCCAAAAGCAGTTGTTTTTAATAGCTTAAACTGCACAAAGACTCTTGGGACATTCTATTTATTGTCTGTCTCTAAGCCTTTTATTGAATGCTACTGCCTAAGAGAGTTAAGACTGATGTATACATTGCTTATTTGCGGTTTTATTAAAATTTTTGTTTTTTTTAATACCACATCACTTTCCAATAGTTTGCAAAATAACTTGCATCAATAACAAAACAAAATTGATATGATACAGTGATCACAATTTTTAAAAAGTAAAATAAATGTTTTATTATTGTCCTTTTATGTTGCTTTCACTTCCTAATGACTTCTCCTCAATGAACCTTCCCTTGGAAAAAAAAGAAAGAAATTCAGCTAAGCTAACCCAGTCTGTGCAGTTTCTGGGTCAATTCCCACTTGACCTCTCCCACCCATGTCCCTGCTGCTGGCATGGAAGGCCTGTTTTCCCATCATAGTTCACTGATGCCTCAGTTAATCATTCCATTGACCCAGAGTTCTTATATTTTGTATTACATTTCTTGTTATTCTGTAAATTGTTCTTCTGTGCCTACTTATATCAGTATGTATAATTTCATACAAGACCTCCCAGGTTTCCCTGAACTCTTTATATTTGTTGTGTCTTAGCAGTAGAGTAGTATATGTTATATTCATATTCCATAGTTTGTTTGCAATGATTACAATTATCAGAGTTATATAATATTCCTTTCTATTGGAAGGAAAGAAGTTAAACTTGAATTTTAATTTTATTATTTTAAACTCATTTGGGAATAGATGTAGGCTGTCTAAATCACATGTATTTAGCTCCATAAATTTTGTATTTTAGTAGGGAAGGAATAAGCATTTTTACAGTGCCTACTGTGTGCCATGCACTGTGCTAAGGACATTTTACAAATATTATCTCTTGTGACCCTCACAATAATACTCTGAGAATTATTCCTGCTATTATCATTTCCATTTTACAGTTGAGAAAACTGAGGCAAACAGAGGTTAAGGTGGCTCACCCAGGGTTACAGCTTACATAGCTAGTAAGTATCTGAGGCCAGATTTGAACTCCAGACTTCCTTACTCCAGGCCCTGCACCGTGTAACCAGCTGCCTCTTAGTAAGCTGAATATATTATATTGAAATACTTCCTTCCCATCATTCTTTCCTCATCCCAGTCATTCTGAACACCTCAGCTGGGTTGTTTAAGCCCTATTCTTGGTCCTCCACTGACTGCTTCCTTATTTCTGTGCCTCTGACCCTTGCCCCACCACCATTCCACTCTTTCCACTGTGCTCTCTGAAACACCAGCTCCATAGGTAGTAATAAATGTACAGAATTCCTCTTAAATCTTTTACCTTCTTGCTGTGTCCATCTTTTTGCACTAGCCCAGATTGGGCTTCTCCCGATGTCACAACTTCCCCGGCCAACCTTCTCAGCATCTGCTGCTTTTTCATTTACTGGTTGGGTAGGGGGTGTGGAATACTCCTTGTTCCCCTTTGTCACTTCTGAAACTTCCCTTTACCATCATCCCTCCTTTGAGGTTCGTTCAGCTCGTATTCATCACTGGGTCAGACTTTTGGTAGCTGTCGTCTGCTGACCTGGTTCCTTCCCCCAGTTAGTTCAGTGTCTGGTGCACAGTCTTTCTGCCTTCTCACCCCCTGCCCTTATAGGAGGAGACTTCAGCACACGTATTCATTTTCCCCTCAAACACCCTAATCTCACATTGCTCAGCTGACTCATTTTCTGTGACCTCCTTTATCCCCTACCTCAGCTACGTACATAGATCATACTCTTGATCTTGCAGTTATCCACAAATATGCTACCTCCGTGTTTGTGAACTCTGGAATGCCTTTATTTTATCAAAATCGGTTGCCATTTCCTCTTTTCCTCTGCTTTGCAACCCCAAACCTTGTTCTTCTTTCCTACTGTAACTTCTTTTCCCTCTCTCTGAGTTCTGTCCTGGGCCCCATCACCCCTGCCCTGGCAACACTTTCCTCCCTTCCTTGTCTTGAGGTGTTGTTGACCTGCCTCAGTTCTACACTGTCTTCTCTCAGCTGCGTCCTTCGGCTCCTTATTGGATCACCACTATTGACCTGCCAAGCCTCAGCCTTGAGTTCCTTCCACCATTCACTGCTTTGCTCTCGCATTTGTACTGCTAGTGGAAGCTGAAGAGAGTCAAGAAAACGTGCTGACTGTGTCCACTCCCAGTTTATTTTACCCAGCCTCTGTTGTGGCCTTATTATAGCAAGGAAGGCAGTCCTTTTATACTTTGCTAATTAACTCACTTTCCCGCTTTCAAACCCTTTTGTCCCTCTTCAGACTCTCTATGGCTTCCTTTGTCTCCACCGTCTCAGCTAATAACTCTGCTTTATATTGCATTGAAAACATTGAGGCCATTTGTTTTCTCTTCATTTCACATCACCCAGATGCCTTCTGTCACTATCTCTTCCTTTACCTCTGTCTCACATGAAATTGTGGTCCTGCTCTTTGCTAGAGCAAAGCCTACTACATGCACAAGCAGTCCCGTGTCATCCTGTCACCTCCAACCGATTGCCTCCTCTGTTACCCCCACTCTCTTACTCATCTTCAGTCTCTTCCTGTCTACTGACCACTTCTCTTTTGCCTGCAGATATATGTCTCTCCTTTCCTCCATTTGATCTGTCCATTCTCCTCAGCTGTTGTCCAATATCACTCCTCCCTTTTGTGACTCAGCTACTCAACATGATGAAGTGTCCTTACTCCTGAACAAGGCTGACCCTGCTTCTTGTTCAGGTGATTTCATTCCATCCTGCTTTCCTCCAACAGATATCTCCCAGTTTTGCGATCCCCATTGCCTACTAACATGCCCATGTTTCTCCCATTCTGAAAAAACTCTCCCTTAATTTCTTCAGCCCTGCTAACTATGATCCTATATCTCTTCTGCGCTTTGTAGCTAAACTTCTTGAAAAGGCTGACTTTAAAAGCTGCCTCCACTTTCTCTCCTGTCGTGCTCTTAACCTCTTAAAATCCATCATTCTACCCAAAAACTGCTCTCTCCAGTGTCACTGGTGGTCTTTTAGTAGCCAAATCTAATGGCCATTCTTGTTGACCTCTCTGTAGCCTTTCACACTTGTTGATCACCCTCTTCTCCCTGACACTTTCTTCTTTAGGTTTTCAGTATACCCCTCTCTCCTAGTTCTCTTCCTACCTCTCTGACTTCTCCTTCTTTCTCTTCTTTGCTGGGTCCTCCTCCAAATCATAGATGTTCCATAGATTCTCTCCTGGACCCTCTTCTGTTCTCCTTCTGTTCTGCTTTACCTGGCGATCTCAACAGGTCCCGTGGATTTAATTTCCATTTCTGTGCTGATGATTCTCAAATCTTATCTAGCCCTAACCTTTTTGCTGATCCCTGGCCTCACTTCGCCAGCTGCCTTTTGGACATCTCAAACTGGATGTCCAGCAAACATCTTAAGTTAGACATGTCCAAAACATAACTCATTGTCTTTTTCATCCAAACCCTCTCCGTCCTGTCTTCCCCATCAGGCTCACAAGCTAGGAGTCCTCCTGGCCTCCTCGCTACCTCTTGTTCCCATATCAAAGCTGTTGCCAAGGCTGGTCTTTCACCTCTGCAAACATCTGTCTAATATGACCCCTTGTCTCCTCTGACACTGCCAACCTTCTAGTGTAGGCACCTATCACTTCATGCCAGCAGCCGTTGGTAGGTCTCTGCCCACTCCAACCGATACTCCATTCAGCCCTAATGTGATTTTTCTAAAACTTAGGTTTGATCACGTCACCACCCTACTCATTAAACTGCAGTGGTTCCTTATTACCTCCAGGAGCAAATACTCTGCCATTCAAAGTCCTTTATAATGTGGCCTCTCTTACCTTTCTAGTTTTTCGTGCATCTTACTCCCTGGCATGTTCCTTTCTGTCCAGTGGCACTGGCCTCCTGGCTGTTCCACAGTCAAGACCCTCCATCCCTCAGCTCTGGATGTTCTCTCTGGCTGTCCCCGTGCCCGGAATGCTCTTCCTCTTCTGCTCTGACTATTGACTTCCCTGGCTTCCTTAAAGTCCCAACAAAAACCCCACTTTTCCCAGCCCCTCTTAATTCCAGTGCTTTCTTTCTGTTAATTATTTCTTATTTATCCTGCATATAGCTTGTTTATGCAGTTATTTCCTCCATTAGACTGAGTTTCTTGAGGGCAGAAACCATCTTTTACCTGTTTTTGATATCCAGTGCTTAGCAGAATGCTTGGCATATAGGAGTCACTGAAATGTTTATTGACTGACTGTAACTTAGAATCTTGAGGAGTTGCCTGGGGGGCACTGAGCAGTTCAGTGACTTGTCTGTGGTCACACAGCCAGCATGTGTCTGAAGTGAGACTTGAACCCAAGTCTTCCTGACTCAGAGGCCAGATTTCTATTCACTGTGCTACACTGTTTCTAGGGTAAACTATAGAATCATGAACTTGGTATCAGTTAGTCCACAAACATTTTAAAATTATCTACCAAGGGCCTTATTGTAGGCTTTGGAGATGCAGAGACAAAAAAGAAACAATGAATTCTCTCAGGGAGCTTTTCTTTCTACCAGAGGAATCAGCGTATCCTTTCCTAAATACATCTAAAATTGATTCCCAGAGCCCTTCCCCATTCCTTTGTGCAGTCTGCCTTGCATGCCTCACTGTGCCTTTTGGAGCTCCTGGCTTAGGGCTCACCTCCTTCAGGAAGCCTTTCCTTGTTTGTTCCCTGGTTGTTAGTGCTCCCTCCCACTTTTTGGTTTCCATATAGCCTGTATTTACTTATCTGTGAACGTGGAAGCTCCTTGAGGGCAGGGACTGTTTCATTTTTGCCTTTGTCTTCCTGGTGCCTAGCACAGTGTACACAGTAGGGGCATAATAAATGTTAAACTGAATTGAATTGGATCTCAGTCATCAGGTTGACTTTGGAAATTACAATCAGTGATATTTGTGTTAAAAGTATTTGCTTCACAGTCTGTAAAATGAAGTCCTTATTTTTAATTTCTTTTAATTTAGATTCCTTTTAAAAATAAACTTGTAGCCACTTGATGCTTATTGTGGAAATTTCCTTAAATTTTGCATTAAATGCATTAAATATTGAATTTATACACATAAACACACGCAGACACACACACACACACGCACACGCACACAGAAAGAGTCCTGAGGTGGTCATTTTAACACTGGCTTTTTTTCTTCTGCTCATATTTGTTTTAGTGGAAGATGAAGAGGAGACAATTGAAGAGCAAGAGGCAAATGAAGGAAATATAGACCATCAAACAGAACTCTCTAATTTAGCCAAAGAAGGTATATTAGAATTATATAGCTTAGTTTTACAACAGTATGGTATTGAACTTTTAAATCCTGTTTACAAGTATTCCTTCTTACATTTAGAGTGTGCTTCACAGTCTATAAAATGAAGTCCTTATTTTTAATTTCTTTTTTTTCTGTTGGCATTTTCCTGTACATATCCATAATACTTTTATTTGATGGTCATGTATTTAACTATAAATGATTTTTACAGACTGTTTATTTTAAGTACTAAAACCTTTGTAATTTTGATTTTGGTTGTTTATGTTTCTTTACTGATATAAGTATATTTAGAATTGGCTGTCTTTTAGCACTTTTACAAAATATTTATTTAACCAACATTTTTGAGACAAGTGCTTATAGTATTTGGGGCAGCTAGGTGGTGCAGTGGATGGAGCACAGGGCTTGGAGTCAGGAAGACTCATCTTCTTGAGTTCAAATCTGGCCTCAGACACTTACTAGCTGTGTGACCCTGGGCAAGTCACTTTACCCTGCCTGCTTCAGTTTCTCAACTGTCAGATGATCTGGAGAAGGAAGTGGCCAACCACGGCGGTGTCTGCCGAGACAACTCCGGTGGGAATCCTGAAGAGTTGGAGGTGACCGAAAAACGGCTGAACAGCAACAGTAACAACAAGTGGTAGTTACAGGATAGGGGTAATGCGATAGATGCAGAACTGTGTAGCCATTTTAATGTCATTTATGTCTGTGCTTTTATGGTTCAGTATTTCAATTTTACTGTTACTCTTATTTTGTTCCAGATTTATATCTATTATTATGTATTGTAATTGCAGTGGCATTACACTGTAATTACAACAGGCAACCAAATTAATTTCATTTAGCATATAAATGCCTAACTTCCTAAATTAATTGCAAAAGTAGGGAAGAAGGGAAGGGAACAAGCATGTTCAAGGCATTGTGCAAAGTGCTTTATAAATATTATCTGATTTGATCTCAATTGATGATAGTATTTCTTCTTTTTTTTCTTTTTTTTCCCTTCTAATTTGGTCTATGAATATGTTAGCTTTTCTTCACTGGTTTGATTAATTCTTCTTCTTTTTTTGGGGGGGGGTGTGAGGCAGTTGGGGTTAAGTAACTTGCCCAGTCACACAGCTACTGAGTATTATGTGTCTGAGGCCAGATTGAACTCAGGTCCTCCTCACTCCAGGGTTGGTACTCTATCCACCGTGCCACCTAGCTACCCCGATTTGATTAATTCTTATTAACATTTTTTGTGTTAAGTGAAAATACTCTCCTTGAAAACAATTAGTGTGACAGTTGGTTCCTCAATTTCTTTCAGCTGAATTGCCCTTAATTGACCTGGTAAAGTTATATGAAGGTGCCTTTATGCCAAGTTTTCAGTGGCCACAGCCTAAGCCTGAGAGTGAAGAGACCAGTGAAGAAGAAGGTAGGCTTTAATTTGGCTTTAAGTACCAGTGTATCTATAGAGCTATTCGACCTGAACATATGTTGGTTTATCATACTGAACTTTATTTTTTTATTTTTTGATGTGATAGAAGAATAATATGGAAAAGAAACCATTTGTGATAACTTTTGAATTAATAGTATTTAATCATATTGATTTTACCCCTCTTTTTTTTTAGACCAAAGCATTTTATATTTAGATCTGAAGAACACTTGAATATGTAGTTGGAGGATTTATTTTTGCTTTGTTGGACATTGAATTTCTCTTTCTACATTTATACCATGCTATATTTGCTCTGAACATTGGTGAATTTATTTTACCTTAATCTATGCTGTATATCTCTCACTGTGATGCCTCTTTGTGGTATGGAGGGTTTACACAGGCTCTCTCAGATATGCTCTGACAGATTCTGTGAAGCTGGAAATGCTTTGAGTACAGAGTTGGCAACAGATGGAGCCTCTTATGGGAAGCCAAGAATGGTAGAAGCCCATCATCACGCTGTAGGTGATGTGTTCTTTAGCTATGATAGCTGAAGAAACAGAAGTGCTAGTGTCAGCCTTGTACACCCTATTTTTCACTTTAATAATGGTGTTGGGATGGTAGAAAAGGGAACAGAGGATGCTAAGAACAGTGTCTAATGACCACTGAGTTAGCATATAATCCCCTCAAAATCCCATCACTATAGATAGTTTCTCATTAAGTGAAACCAGAAAGCAAAAGGAAGAATGTCTCACGAGTTCTCTGTGAAGAGGGTAACAAAGTAGTCAGTAAATTTGGTTTCCTCCTCTGCCCAGAGGTGGTAGATGCCCTTTTTTCTTTTTTGTTGTCTTATCTGCCTTCCTTCCTTCCTTTCCCACGTTTTACCCTCTGGTTGATTAGCTACTCTTAAATCTCTTATCCCTTCATCTTATCCCACTCACACTTTGCCAAACCTCCAGGTATTAGTTGCCCCCAGTGTTCCACCTTATATGTTCCTATTTGTATGCATTTTTATTCTCCTGGACATCATTATGCATCCGTCCTGCTTGTTTTTGCTGTAAATTTGTGTTACATAATGTTAACTGGACCCATCTTCTTGCATGGCAATTTTACCTTGATTGACTCTCTGTTTGGCTTTCCACAGTTGTGTTCTCCAAAACTTTGTCCTGAACCCTATTCTCTTCTCTCCCTAAGTAATTTTATCAGCTCTAGTGACTTCAATTATGTCAGTGCAGTAGATTCTCAAATCAACTTATACAGCTCTAAACTGTTTTTCTGGACTGGAGTCCCACATTACCAAATGCCTACTGGACTTTTCCGCCTATAAGTCCATCCACATCTCAAATTCAGCATGTCCAAAAGGGAACTCACTATATTTTCCCCAAACTCCTCCCTACTCCCAGTTTCTCTTTTTTGTTCATATTTAAAACATGAGAGTTACTCTTCCCACTCTTCCCTCTCTTTCCTTCTCCACAGCCTTTCTGTTGCTGAGTCATGTCAGTTCTCTCTCCTCAACATTTCTTGCATCCATCCTCTTTCTGTTCCTGTAGTCTCTCTTTTTGTTTGCAGGCCTTCATTACTTCTGGCTTGAACAATTGGGATGCCCTCCTAATGGACCTTCCTGAGTATTCTCCCCTCTTCAGTCTTTATTTTCCAGCTGCTAAGTAAATGTTCCCAAAACAGAGATGTGATTGTGTCACTGCCTTCTTACCCAAAAAACCTGTATGTCATCCCATTGCTGTTAGCATGAAAAATCTTCAGCCTGGCCCTTGTAGTCTTCCGCAGTCAGATTAGGGTGTGAGCACCTTGAGTGTAGAGATGGTTATTCTTTATACCTTCAGCCTTGGTCACGGTGACTGCACATAGTGGGATCTTAGCAGATACTTTCTGACTGATGCCTTTCATGAATTCTTCATTTTAGTCAGCCTGGCTTGTTATCTCCCTCCACACTGTTACACACTGACTTTGTCTTTCACCCTTCTGTATAATATGAACCTCTTGTTGTTCAGTTGTTTCTGACTCTTTGTGACCCTGTGGACTGTACTGTCCATCTTTTTTCTTGGCAAAAATATTGGAGTAGTTTGCTGTTTCCTTCTCCAGTGGATTAAGGCAAACAGAGATTAAGTGATTTGCCTAGGGTCATATAGCTAGTAAGTGTTTGAGGCTGGATTTGAACTCAGGTCTTCCTGACTTCAGGTCTAGCACTCTATCCACTGAGCCACCTAGCTGCCAGTATAATGAATTGAATTATTTTATGATACACTTGGTTATCTTATCATGTAGTACTCATGAGCATAAGAACAAAAACAATTACAAAGGTAATTGATTTATGTGCTAGCATGTTTTGCAGAGGATGAAATTTTAGAAAATTACACAAACAACTTCATTGGAACCTCCAGACCAAATCAACATAAACTTGGATATTTTTTAACTTATAAATGGAAAGATGGATGCAGGAGAAGTTACTTTAAAAATATATTGGAAAATATGGTTTATGATTGAGAAATGAAAAGGCCAATAGACTACTCAGAAGCCTTATACCTCTGTCTATCTCTAGTCATATAAAAATGCTCTAAATCACTATTCATTAAAGAAATACAAATTCAAACAATTCTGAGGTACCACCTCACACCTATCAGATTGGCTAACATAACAAAAAGGGCAAGTGGTAAATGTTGGAGAAGATGTGGGAAAATTGGAGCAAAAGGGCATTGTTGGTGGAGTTGTGAACTGATCCAGCCATTTTGGAGAGCAATTTGGAACTATGTCCAAAGGGCTATAACAATGTGCATATACCCTTTGATCCAGCAATAATACTCCTAGGTCTATATCCCAAAGAGATCATAAAAAAGGCAAAAGGACCCACATGTACAAAAATATTCATAGCAGCTCTTTTTGTGGTGGCAAAGAATTGGAAATTGAGGGATGCCCATCAATTGGGGAATGGCTGAACAAGCTGTGGTATGTGAATGTAATGGAATACTGTTGTTCTATAAGAAATGATGAATACTTTTTTCCTAAAAAGATTTGAAAGAAACTGGATGTGGAAAGCACTGAGTAACGTCCTAAATTTTTTAGCACTAAACATATTTTTTATCTTAGACAGTAAAAAACTGTATACTGATGTAGCAACCATATCAATTCAATTTAAGAAACATTTATTAAACACCTGCTATGTGCCAGGTACTGTGCTAAGCACTGGGCATACAAAAACAAGGCACAAGACAGTCTCTGCCCTCAAGAAGTTAACAATCTAAAGGAGGAGATAACATGCAAACATACAGAAAACAAGACATATACAGGATTAACAGGAAATATTTCCTATAATGTTGACCATGTTATTTTCCCATATGAATCGATTTCCGTGGCTCACTGTTATTCCCAGGATCAAATATAAAATCCTCTTTTTGGCTTTTTAAAGCCCATCATCCCTTTGTAACTTCTTACATCGAGTTCTCTGCAGTCTAGTGACACTGACCTCTTTTCTGTTTCTCAAACAATCAATCAGTAAACATTTATTAAGTGTTTACTATGTGCTAGGCACTATGTTAAGTACTGGGGATACTAAAAGAGGCAAAAGACAGTGCCTGCACTCAAGTAGCTCATGGTGCTTACAGTGCCTGGCACATAGTAGACACTTAATAAATGTTTAGTAAATAAAAGAATGAATCTAATGGGGGAGACAACATACAAATATATGCAATATATGCAAATATATACAAAGCAAGCTGTGTACAGCATAAATAGGAAGTAATTAACGGGAAAGGCAGTGGAATTAAGAGTTAGGGAAGGATTCCTGTAGAAGGGGGGAATTGTAGTTGGGACTTAAAGGAAGCCAGGGAGATCAATAGTCAAAGCAGAGGAGGAAAGAGCATTCCTGGCATGAGGGGACAGCCAGAGAGAATGCCCAGATCCTTGAGATGATCTTCTTTATGGAAGAGTTAGGAGGCCAGTGTCACTATTTTGTATTTGTCAGGAAATAAGATGTAAGAAGACTGGAAAGGTAGAAAGTAACCAGGTTATGAAGAGCTTTGAATGCCAAACAGAGTCTTTTGTATTTGCTGCAGGAGGCATTAGGGTGCCTCTGAAGTTTATTGATTAGGAGGTGTCACACAATTAGACCCGTGCTTTAGGAAAAGCACTTTAGTGGCAAAATGGAGGATTGGAATGAGGAGAGACCTGAGAAAGGCAGACTCCAGCAGCAGGCTGTTATAATAATCCAGGCATGAAGTGGTGAGGGCCTGTCCCAGGGTGGTGGCAGTGTCAGGAGACAGTAGAAGGATGTATTTGAGAGATGTTGAAGAGGTGAAATTGACAAGCCTTGGCACCATATTGGATACGTGGGGTGAAAGATAGTGAAGAATCCAGGTTAACTCATGGGTAGCAAGTCTTAAGGACTAGAAGAATGATATTCCCTCTACACTAATAGGGAAGACAGGAGGGTGGGAGAATATGACATATGAACAGTCTCTGAGAGATGTAATTTCTGGGTAATTAATCATTTCATTAATTATGGCTAGCAAATAATTAATAAAAGAATGATCATTTGGCTTTCTCTCATAAACCAAAGACACCAAAGATGAATCTTGGAGGCCTCTTCAATGCTTATAATGCCCTTGGAAAAATGGATATTCCCAACAGGTGGCAATCAACTCTGATTGGATAACAATTAAAATGAGAGAATGAATATTATAATGAGAGGTAGATATAGTCTAATGAGGGGCTGGGGGAACTGTGTCTTTGATTACTTCTTATTCCTAGGCCGCCCCTAGCCTCAGGCAATCTAGACAAAGAGATCTACCCCCAGGCCAACAAGCCATTCTGAGTAGAACACAGTGGGCCAGAATTCACCTAGATTAGATTTTCTTTGTAAGGCTTTCTAGTTGAGTGTGGTAACAGTTCACCTAGATATAACTTTCTGGGCAAGGTCAGTAATGTCCTTCAAAGACTGGCTGTATAACCTACAGGGGTTTATTTCTGAATAATGAAGAAATAGAAAGAAA